TACTTTCACTTCTACAGAATGTATTAGTGTGTTTTTGGTTGTATGCAGGATAGTTGTAGCATGTTTGGCAGAATTATGGCCTTATGGAGATTAAATATGATTAAAGGAGATGCTTATGGGTACACCAAAGTGAGAAGAGGCAGAATTTGTAACAGTTAATTTTATGTGTCAGCTTGACTGGGCTAAGGGATGCCCAGATAGCTGGTAAAACACTATTTTGGGGTGTGTCTGTGAGAGTGTTCTGGAAGAGATCAGCATTTGAATTGGTAGACATTGATTAAAGAAGATTGCCCTTACCATTGTTGGCAGGCATCAGTCAATCCATTGAGTACCTCAAAGAGAAGAACAAAACAAAACATTGGGGGAAGGGCAATTGCTTTCTCTGAGCTGGGACATACCTATTCACCTGCCTCTAACATCAGGGCTACTGGTTGGTTCCCTGGCCTTCGGACTTGCTTTCCTGGTTCTCCAGTTTGCAGATATGGGACTACCTGGACTTCATAATTGCCTGAGCCAATTCCCATAATAAATATCTCTCTCTCTCACATATACACTCACATATATATGTCTTCTATTAGTTCTATTTCTCTGGAGAACCATGATTAATACAGAGGGAGAAAAGATGATTAACACAGATGAAGTAAATGTTCTCAGTTAGTTATGTGGTGGTACCTGCCTACCCTTCCCCATTTCATTAGAACTCAGAAGAGAGAGGGGGACATAAAATAAAAGTGGTCTTCCCGCCTTCAGTAATAGCATATGTTGAGCATAATCTAATTTATTCTTGATGATCCAGGGTAGTTGTAACAAATGAGCACAATTGATCTCTATATAATAAAATGATGACTTTGAGTTTGTAAAGGTATGCATGGCCTCTCAATAAAAAATAATAAATGCTTATAAAGTTATTAGTGTGTGCCAGGCACTGAGTGGATTGTATTGATTTCCTGGTTCATGTTTAGTGTTCACTGCTCAAGTTTTCACCTCTATTTATAAGGCACTTGTAATCATAGTCAGTACAAGGTAAGCACTCTAGAAACTGCCTGATTTTAAGTGCTGGCTCCAGCACTTACTGGCTGGGTGATGTTGGCAAAGTTACCTACCTTCTCTGAGGTTCATTTTCTTCATTTATACAGGATTATATGAGTACATCTGTGTAAATATTTATGTATATAAAAGATGTCCCCAAGACACATTTTCTATCCCCCGCCTATCGCAAGGACACAAAGACATATTTCCCATCTGTGTGGCTCCATGCCATGATTGCAACATAGCCGTAAAATGTCAGTAACAATAGTATCTTCCTAAAAGAGTTATGAGGATTAAATGAGATGATTCACATAAACCACTTAACACAATGGCACCTAAATCCTCTAAATGTTGTGCCTTACTGTATTACTGTTTGTAAGTTTGAAATATTTAATTGAAGTGCCTAGGGGAAGCCAGATAACCAAACATATTAAGTTAATAACCTTTAATATTTTGTAGGGGCTTAAGTCTCTAAGTAGGCTAGGAGGGAGTAGGGAGGAACTATTAAAAGATCTGTAGAGATAAAGACAAAAAAGGTAGAATGTGATACATGCCAAATGGGTGGTACAAAGTAATATGGGAGTTTACAGGAGAAAGTGGGCAGTTGTGTCTGGTAATCAAGAAAGAGGTCATGGAAAAGGTAGCCTGTATTGGGCTTGAAGATGAGAGGGTTTCAACAAAAATGTTACATAAGCTAACCTCTTTGCCCTTCTGTGCTGTGCATTGTAACAAAGTATGACAGCAACTTTCTGATCATTCCTGAACCTTCAAGGACTCTACTTAGAAGTAATGGATTAGTGTCTTTGGTGAAAATGTGCTGACGAGCTGCAGAATCCTACCTCTCCATTTAGATGTGACCATATGCCTTCAGTCCTAAAGCAGAGTAGAAAGGTAAAACAGTCACCATCACCTTCCCGTAATAGCATCTGAGACTGAAGAGGCTGTGGAGGCCTGCCAGTTCACTAAGGAATCCTTTCCTGGCTTTTCTGGCTAACGTGGACTTTTCTTAAGTGTCAGGAGATAACCACTTTCCAAGACAGGCCTAGCCAGTATTCTTGAATATCTACCCTACATGAAAGGTCATACTTAAAACCAGTAGAACTCAGACTCTTTGTGGCAACTTCCATACAACAGATCACCCTTTTACTTGAAGTAACAGCTCATCGCCTTATTCTTCTGCGGGGTCAATAGCATTACTTTCCTTTACCTTCAACTTCATATAAGCCAATAAGGGTTTCTATAAGGCCAAGTCAATTCTGTTAACACCGCTTGTCTACATGCATATTTACTCCCTTAAAATAACTCTAATAGTTAATTACCCAGTTAGAAACACTATGCCTTCCTTTCAATATATGTTTATTTAATATGGTTCCACTGTAGAATTACAACATTTGCTAAGATCCTATATAGTTTTAAATTTTTCATTTCTATATGCTTCCCCATTTGTTGACAAAGATTCATAAAGGCGTTTATAGAAACTCTAAAAGTTAACCAGATACTACCTTTTAAAAAATAAACCACCCTAGAAGAAAACCTAGGCAATACCATTCAGGACATAGGCAAGGACTTCATGACTAAATGCCAAAAGCAATGTCAACAAAAGCCAAAACAGACAAATGGGATCTAATTAAACTGAAGAGCTTCTGCACAGCAAAAGAAACTATCACCAGAGTGAACAGGCAGCCTACAGAATGGGAGAAAAATTTTGACTGACAAAGAGCTAATATCCAGAATCGACAAAGAACTTAAACAAATTTGCAGGGGGAAAAAAAAACCAACCCCATCAAAAAGTGGGTGAAGGATATGAGCAAACACTTCTCAAAAGGAGACATATACAGCCAACGATCATGAACAAAAAAGCTCATCATCACTTGTCATTAGAGAAATGCAAATCAAAACCACATTGAGATAGCATCTCACACCAGTTAGAATGGCAGTCATTAAAATGTCATGAACCAACAGATGCTGGAGAGGATGTGGAGAAATAGGAATGCTTTTACACTGTTGGTGGGAATGTAAACTAGTTCAATCATTGTGGAAGACAGTATGACAATTGCTCAAGTATCTAGAACTGGAAATACTGTTTGACCCAGCAATCTTATTCCTGAGTGTATACCCAAAGCATTATAAATCATTCTACTATAAAGACACATGCACACATATATTTATCACAGTACTGTTCATGATAACAGACTTGGAACCAACCCAAATGCCCATCAATGATAGACTAGATAAAGAAAATGTGGCACATATACACCATGGAATACTGTGCAACCATAAAAAGGATGAGTTCATGTCCTTTGCAGGGACATGAATGACGCTGAAACCATCATTCTTAGCAAACTAACACAAGAATAGAAAACCAAACACCGCATGTTCTCACTCCTAAGTGGGAGTTGAACATCACATACCAGGGCCTGTCATGGGCTAGAGGACTACGGGAGGGATAGTATTAGGAGAAATATCTAATGTTGATGGGGTGATGGATGCAGCCAACCACAATGGCATGGGTATATCTATGTAACAAACCCGTATGTTCTGCCTGTGTACCCCAGAACTTAAAGTACAGTTTTTGAAAACACTTTTATCTAAAGAAAGCAAAAACACAAAAAACTGTACAAACCTACTCCCTACTAAACAGCTCTGTTCCTGTAGTTTGGGAGCAGAAATTTAAGTATGCAAGTTTCTATTTCTATAGTTCCAATAAAATAATAGAATTTCCCAGTTGAAAAATGTCTTAAGCCTCTCCTCTCCTTCCTAGCTCCACTAAAATAGCCGTTGAATAGTATTGGGTATTTCTTTCTTAGAAAAGGATATATATTTCCAAATATATTTTCTATGAATTTTTCAGGAAAAAATATCAAATACATGTATTTTTAGCCTTTTTTTTCTTTTTTTGGAAACAAGAGTCTTGCTCTGTTGCCCAGCTTGGAGTATAATGGCACAATCTAATGGCTCACTGCAGCCTTGAACTCCTGGGCTCAAGCAATCCTCCTACCTCAGTGTCCCAAGTAGCTGGGACTACAGGCACACACCACAATGCCCAGATAATTTTTTATTATTTGTCGAGATGAGTTTTCCCTATGTTGCCCAGGCTGGTCTTGAACTTCTGGACTTAAGCAATCCTTCTGCCTCAGATTTGCTTTTAGTCTTTACAGCGATTAAGTAGAAAGAGAATAAAGCACCAACCCAGTTTTTAAATGATTATCTTATAGATCTAGGTCTGCTATTTACAAGAAAATAGGAAAGAGGCAGAATCTCTCCCTGCCTGAAATTCACAGGTCCAGGGCAGTAGTGAGAGAGTGGCAGAATCTCCACCAGAGGGTATGTAGACAGCCAAACACAACATCTCTGTGTGACACTGTGAGCAAACAGGCAGGAAGAGCAATATCCCTATACAGTATACAATGACTGCCACCAGGCTTGGAAAAGAAAATGGAAAACAATGAATAAAGCTTAGACTTTCAGAGCTATACATAAGCAAATGAGCAAATCTAAACTTGTTCATATGATTCCATATTGTTCTTCTTTGAGTACAAACAATCCTGTATCACATGATCCTCGCATTATATAAATTGCAGGATAGGTAATTCACAGTTATCAGGAATACAAAACCTTATGCTCTGGATGTGTTATAGATACTAAGAATAATGTCATACTATGCTGAGCTCCTCTAGAGGAGAAGTTAAAGATCCAATTCTTTCACTTCAGAGGAAGCTGAGACCCACAGAGTGAAACGACCTGCCACATGTTAGTAGCATTAGAATTCACTCCCCAAGATTCATTTGTGTTATTTCTGCTCTTAACGTTATCCAATTTATTCTCTCCTGGATATTGTCATGTAATGATAAGGGCAGCAGAGAAGTTTAGGGGAAATTACATCCTAAACCCAAAGTACCTTAGAATTTGAAGAATCAGATAAACTCATAAACAGCTTTGCTGATCTTTGGCCTCTTGTCTTTTTTTTTCAGACTCTGAACTTGCCTTGATGTACAATGATTCCTCAGTCTTAGAGAACCATCATTTGGCTGTGGGCTTTAAATTGCTTCAGGAAGAAAACTGTGACATTTTCCAGAATTTGACCAAAAAACAAAGACAATCTTTAAGGAAAATGGTCATTGACATTGTAAGTAGCTGATAAAAGCTAAAAAAGAGAACTGTGATGCAAGTTGTTTAGGTAAAAGGAACTGCATTTCACAACATATTATTACCCTTTATGTTACAGAAGCTGCCCTGATGCTGGCAGTGATGTTCTATAATAGGTTTTTCACTTCTAGCAGTTTGGAGTTGAGAATAATGTTAGCTCACCATCATCATTTGTTTTCTGAGCTCCTCCACTTTAGTGGCGGGAAGAGAAAGATGACTGACAAAAGCAGATTGCATGGGCCACAGCTCTCATCAGTAGACAGTGCCATTTAGAATATCCATGACTTTACTCTTTTGTCTATGCATCTTATTCAGTGATTATGAGACACAGGAAAATCTCTAGCTTTCAAAACCTTACTCTGTTAAACCTTATACATACAAAGGCAAGAATTATCTGTATTTTCAAAGCAGAAAATAACCAGAATATTTTGTTTCTGAAGCAGTCTGTAAGCAACCTTGAATCAGTTTGTCATTCATAGTCTAGTAACCACTTTCTGGTCCAAGGAATGGAAAAACTTGAAAACATGTGATGATGCCTTATCCACAGAAATGTTATCCCATTTTCACCATGAAAGTGGTTATCAGTACCTAACATTTCTGTATATTACACACATTTGTCTGGGCTTTGAGAAAACTTCATAGCAAAGGGGAGAAGACTCTGCCCTAAGAAAGAGTAAGGGATTTCCACCGTCATTAAAAGGCATAGGGTTGTTTTATTCCTTTTTCTTTCTCTCATTCTGCATAATATTTTCATATGTAAATTTTGTTTTCTCTGAACTTTACTCAATAATATACTCCTTATATTTTAAGGTACTTGCAACAGACATGTCAAAACACATGAATCTACTGGCTGATTTGAAAACTATGGTTGAAACTAAAAAAGTGACAAGTTCTGGAGTTCTTCTTCTTGATAATTACTCTGATAGGATTCAGGTAAAGCCTTATTTGAGTTTGCTCTGTGTGTGTCTGTGCACCTGTGCACATATGTCTGTGTGTTCAGCTTTGAAAAGATGTATTTCTTTCTTCACCTTGTACTTCTAAAAATTATAGGCAGCATTTTAATCCAAATTTTTATTGCTGAGAATTAACCAGGTAAAATTCTACTGGTCTTTTCATTTGCATCTATATTAATTAAAAAAACTAACACCCCATAGAACCAGCCACTTAAGCAGTTCTGAATCTAATCAACCAGTTTCTCTTATGCTATTTAGATGCAGTAGAAATGGCATAATTTGGAACTATTAATACAAGTGTGAACCATACACAGACACATCATGGTTGAGCTGTTTGGAATAAATCTTATACTATGCATATTTTTAAGTGTTGCAGTCATCCAATGTGAATTTCTAGTTTTTATTTATTTATTTATTTATTTTAAAAAGGAAGAGGAGTGACTAGCGTATGCATCCATCTATTTTAGATTCTTCAGAATATGATGCATTGTGCAGATTCTAAGGGCAGCTAGAGAGAAAGGTCAGGTTACCCATAAAGGGAAGCCTATCAGACTCACAGGAGATCTCTCAGCTGAAACCCTACAAACGAGAAGAGAGTGGGGGTCAATATTTAATATCCTCAAAGAAAAGAATTTTCAACCCAGAGTCTCATATCCAGCCAAATTAAGCTTCATAAATGAAGAAAAAATAAAATTTTTCGCAAACAAGCAAGCATTCAGAGATTTCATCACCACCAGGCCTGCTTTACAAGAGCTTCTGAAAGAAATGCTATACACAGAAAGGAACAACCAGTATCAGTCAGCCCAAAAACTTACCAAAAGGTAAAGAGTAGCTCCATAATGAAGAATCTATATCAACTAATGGGCAAAATAGCCAGCTAGCATTAAATGACAATATTAAACTCACAAATATCAATATTAATCCTAAATTTAAATGGATTAAATGCCCCAATCAAAGACACAGACAGGCAAATTGAATAAAAAGTGAAAATCCATCGGTTCACTGTAATCCAGATCCATCTCATAAGTAAGGACACACAAAGACTCAAAACAAAGGGTTGGTGGAAGACTTACCAATCAAATGGAGAAAAAAAAAAGCAAAAACAGGAGTTGTAACTTTTGTCTCTGACAAAATAGACTTTAATAGTAACAAGGACTAAAAGAAACAAACAAGGACATTACATAATGGTAAAAGGATCAATGCAACAACAGGAGTCAACGACCATAAATATATATGCACCCAATATAGGAACACCCAGATACATAAGACAAGTTCTCAATGACTTATAAAGAGACTTGGACTCCTGCACAATAATAGCGGGAGACTTCGACACCACATTGTTAATATTCGACAGATCAACAAGATAGAAAATTAACAGGGACATCTATGATTTGAACTCAGACCTGGAACAAGTAAACTCAGTGAATATTTATAAAATTCCTCACCCCAGGTCCACAGAACATACATTTTTCTCAGTATCGCATTATACCTATTTTGAAAGTAACAACATAATTGGAAGTAATTCACTCTTCAGCATTTGCATAGCACTTCACAGACTTAAATGAAATATTGGTTAGCTGTTTGTTTGTTATTTTCTTCCCTTATTCCTTCCTGTCTCTGCTGTTAAGCACAATTATCGGCATAAAAGAAGTTTTTAATACCTATTTTCAGATTGCATTCCAGCCTGGGCAATAGAGCAAAACTCCTGTTCTCTCTCCCGCTTTCTGTCTTTCAAAAAAAAAAACTACTATATGGTTATATGGAAGGATTATATAAATCAGCACTAAATGTGTCAGTACAGCTCCAACTACAATACCTATATGATTATATAGAAAGATTATATGGAACTAAGTATGATTATACATATAAGCTAAATATAGTAAGCAGTGAGTTATGCTTCAGGCACTAATTGTGCCTGGGGTCTGCACAGTTCTTCTTCGGTGCCCATGGTGGGTGTTACCCACACACACAAAAAAATGTTGAGATAATCCTTTAAAATAATTTTCCAGAATTAATTTCTTCCATCAGTAATATAGTGAGAAAAAAAAAGGAAGAGGAGTGACTAGCATATGTATCTATCTATTTTAGGTTCTTCAGAATATGGTGCATTGTGCAGATTTGAGCAACCCAACAAAGCCTCTCCAACTGTACCGCCAGTGGACAGACCGGATAATGGAGGAGTTCTTCCGCCAAGGAGACCGAGAGAGGGAACGTGGCATGGAGATAAGCCCCATGTGTGATAAGCACAATGCGTCTGTGGAAAAATCACAGGTAATACATGAGATGTACAGCTTTCAGAGAGAACGGAGCCACCGCTTTAGCATTTGGTTACTTTGTATCACATATGATAGTATTTTATTGGATTTTTAAAATTACTTTTTTTTGACACTGAGTTTCACCTTAGTATTTATGATCTAAAAAACTTTCATTCTTAGGACTTACATTCATATAGTCATATATCTAAGAGCACATTTATCATGACTATATTCATTTAATATATTTATATACATACAGCACATGGCATTACTTCAGTTATCTGGATTCACCTACAAATTGAGATTCTAAAATAAGCCCTACCATGTCAACAACTGGAAAATTTTTTATGCTACAAACATGCTCTTTAACCAAGGGTTCTAGAAGCTAATTTTGACCAGCTAGTAACAATATTTTATATGGTCTGTTGTTGAAAATAGTGATAATTTTACCAAACTAAGCTTAGTTGTCTTCTGTTAAGTGTTTTATTTGTGGGTCATGATCTAGTTAAGCTTTTCCATTATTTCTTGGTCCCAAGTCCTCTCCTCATATTGGATTTTTTTCTTAACCAGGTGGGCTTCATAGACTATATTGTTCATCCCCTCTGGGAGACTTGGGCAGACCTCGTCCACCCTGACGCCCAGGACATTTTGGACACTTTGGAGGACAATCGTGAATGGTACCAGAGCACAATCCCTCAGAGCCCCTCTCCTGCACCTGATGACCCGGAGGAGGGCCGGCAGGGTCAAACTGAGAAATTCCAGTTTGAACTAACTTTAGAGGAAGATGGCGAGTCAGACACGGAAAAGGACAGTGGCAGTCAAGTGGAAGAAGACACTAGCTGCAGTGACTCCAAGACTCTTTGTACTCAAGACTCAGAGTCTACTGAAATTCCCCTCGATGAACAGGTTGAAGAGGAGGCAGTAGGGGAAGAAGAGGAAAGCCAGCCCGAAGCCTGTGTCATAGATGATCGCTCTCCTGACACGTAACAGTGCAAAAACTTTCATGCCTTTTTTTTTTTCAGTAGAAAAATTGTTTCCAAAGTGCATGTCACATGCCACAACCACGGTCACACCTCACTGTCATCTGCCAGGACGTTTGTTGAACAAAACTGACCTTGACTACTCAGTCTGGCGCTCAGGAATATCGTAATCAGTTTTTTCACCTCCATATCATCAGAGCAAGGTGGACATCTTCATGAACAGCATTTTAACAAGATTTCAGCTTGGTAGAGCTGACAAAGCAGATAAAATGTACTCCAAATTATTTTCAAGAGAGTGTGGCTCATCAGGTGGCCCAAAAGTTGATTGGATTTGGGGTTTCTGTTTTTTTGTTTGCAATATTTTCAGAAGAAAAGCATTGCACAGGGTGAACTTAATGGACGAAGCAACAAATATGTCAAGAACAGGACACAGCACGAATCTGTTACCAGTAGGAGGAGGATGAGCCACAGAAACTGCATAATTTTCTAATTTCAAGTCTTCCTGATACATGACTGAATAGTGTGGTTCAGTGAGCTGCACTGACCTCTACATTTTGTATGATATGTAAAACAGATTTTTTGTAGAGCTTACTTTTATTATTAAATGTATTGAGGTATTATATTTAAAAAAACTACGTTCAGAACTTCATCTGCCACTGGTTATTTTTTTCTAAGGAGTAACTTGCAAGTTTTCAGTACAAATCTGTGCTACACTGGATAAAAATCTAATTTACGAATTTTACTTGCACCTTATAGTTCATAGCAATTAACTGATTTGTAGTGATTCATTGTTTTATATATCAATGACTTCCATATTTTAAATAGAAAAACAAGTTTATGTTGCAGGAAGCCCTTTTTGTAAGTATTTAGTTACTTTGCATTTTGTTTGTTTCACTCTTTCCAGATAAGCAGAGTTGCTCTTCACCAATGTTTTTCTTCACAGTGTGCAATGTAACTATTTGTTCTATAATATTTTAATGTGTGTTACATCAAATGTGTCTTAAGCTTCATGCAAACTCAGTCATCAGTTGGTGTTGTCTGAAGCCAGTGGGAGATATATAAATACCCAGTAGCTAAAATGGTCAGTCTTTTTTAGATGTTTCCCTACTTAGTGTCTTCTAATAACATTTTGCTGTGTCACAGACATGCATTTCACAAGTGCGTGTCTTTCTAATAATCCGCACATTTCATGCTCATTTTTATTGTTTTTATAGCCAGCTACAGTAAGAAAAGGGGTTTTCCCCTCGTGCTGCTTTATAATTTAGTGTGTGTTTGAACCTCCGTCCATGGTTGCTAGAAGTTTTGTCAAATATATCACCACCATTGTGACAGGTGAAAAGAAACAGTGAAATTAGGGTTAACATTCATTTCAACCATGAGGTTGTATATCATGACTAGCTTTTACTCTTGGTTTACAGAGAAAAGTTAACAACAGCTAACTAGGCAGTTTTTAAGAATATTAACAATATATTAACAAACACCAATACAATGAATCCTCCTTGGTTTCAATGATTTCACCATGGGATTAAGAACTGTATCAGGAACATCCCTGAGAGATGGTTTTAAGTGTTGCAAGTACACTTCCTTAATGGACAGCCACATAACATGTAGGAATTGCTTTATTACTTATTCTCAATTCATAAGCATATCTTGCAGAGGGGAACTACTTTAAACACATGGAGGGAAAGAAGATGATGCCACTGGCAGCAGAGGGTTGGTACTATGATACATCCTAAAATATTAGATTGGTAAAAATTCTGCTTAAATAAAAAATTAGAGATCACTCTTGGCTGATTCCAGCACCAGGAACTATATTACAGTTTTAGATATTAATTCCCAATGTTTACTGGATTATAGCAGTTAGCATCATGGGACATTTTTGACTTTATTCCCATGTCAGGTCTTTTTTTTTTTTTTTAAGATGGAGTCTCGCTCTGTCACCCAGACTGGGTACAATGGCGTGATCTCGGCTCACTGCAACCTCCACTTCCCGGGTTCAAGTGATTCTCCTGCCTCAGCCTCCCAAGTAGCTGGGATTACAGGTGCCCACCACTGTGCCTGGCTAATTTTTGTATTTTTAGTAGAGACAGGGTTTCACCATGTTAGTCAGGCTGGTCTCGAACTCCTGACCTCAGGTGATCCACCTGCCCTGGCCTCACAAAGTGCTGGGATTACAGGTGTGAGCCACCATGCCTGGCCCTCTCCTGTCAGTCTTAATAAAGTATTTACCTTCTCTCTGAAGACCTTACAGCCCAAATAATCATGTCTCACGTTGATACTGAAAAATTGTGATGGAGGTCAAAGTGGGTATCTGACAAATGGAAAATCAAATATTTAGGAAGAATTACCACCCTGAAAAGCATTTATATTTGGAACTTCTCAAGAAGCCTTCTGGGGACTGAAAACTAAGTCATCAGCCAGGGAAATGACTCAAGCTGAAGAGAATCCCCATTTCAGTCCCCTGAGATCTAGCTGATGCTTAGATCCTTTGAAATAAAAATTATGTCTTTATAACTCTGATCTTTTACATAGGGCAGAATAGGAATCAACTAGCTAATTATAAGGTTTCTAATCTCTTTCCTCTATAAAGATCAGACAGTACTCTTTCAAATAAAGATGTATGTTTGACCAAGTAGTTTCACAACACTTGGGAACTTGTTTCCCTTTTAATTTTATTTGTCCCTGAGTGAGGTCTAGAAAGAAAGGCAAAGAGTCTAGAGTTTATTCCTCTTTCTAAAACATTCTCATTCCCTCTCCCTCCCTACACGTAGTATTTCCCCCACAGAGTGCCTAGACTCTTAATAATGAATAAAATGAAAAGCAGCAATATGTCATTAACAAATCCAGACCTGAAAGGGTAAAGGGTTTATAACTGCACTAATAAAGAGAGGCTTTTTTTTTCCAGTTTGTTGGTTTTTAATGGTTCCATGTTGTAAAGATACCCACTAATGGACAATCAATTTGCAGAAAAGGCTAAATATCCAAGAGACAGGGACTAATGCACTCTACAATCTGCTTCCCTTGTGTTTAGTTCTCGCCAAAGTATGCTTCAGAAATACACACTGCTTTAAAAAAGAATCTCCTTTTACGAGTGGCTTTACATTTCCTAAAATGCCATAAGAAAATACAATATCTGGGTACTGTATGGGGAAAAAAATGTCCAAGTTTGCGTATAACCAGTGCATTTCAGCTTGCAAGTTACTGAACACAATAATGCTGTTTTTGTTTTATATCAGCTAAAATTCACAAGAAAATAATGTAGATAGAACAAATTACAGACAAGGAAAGAAAAAACTTGAATGAAATGGATTTTACAGAAAGCTTTATGATAATTTTTGAACGCATTATTTATTTTTTGTGCCATGCATTTTTTTTCTCACCAAATGACCTTACCTGTAATACAGTCTTGTTTGTCTGTTTACAACCATGTATTTATTGCAATGTACATACTGTAATGTTAATTGTAAATTATCAGTTCTTATTAAAACATCATCCCATGATGGGATGGTGTTGATATATTTGGAAACTCTTGGTGAGAGAATGAATGGTGTGTATACATACTCTGTACATTTTTCTTTTCTCCTGTAATATAGTCTTGTCACCTTAGAGCTTGTTTATGGAAGATTCAAAAAAACTATAAAATACATAAAGATATATAAGTTTAAAAAAACATAGCTGCAGGTCTTTGGTCCCAGGGCTGTGCCTTAACTTTAACCAATATTTTCTTCTGTTTTGCTGCATTTGAAAGGGTAACGGTGGAGCAAGGGCTGGGCATTTTACATCCAGGCTTTTAATTGATTAGAATTCTGCCAATAGCTGGATTTTACAAAACCACAGACAACCTCTGAAAGATTCTGAGACCCTTCCGAGACATAACCTCTTAAGTACTTCTTGCCAGGGAGTGGCACTGCATGTGTGATGCTTGTTTGCCGCCTGTGGATCAGGAGCTACATCAGCTACTTGCATTTGATTATTTCCTTTTTTTTTTAAACTCAGAAACACAACTGGGGAAATATATTCCTTCCCAGTGATTATAAACAATCTTTTTTTAAAAGTCTTTTTGGCTTCTAGAGCTCATAGGAAAATGAGCTGGATTTGAAATTCGAGCCAGAGCTTACTCGTGTTGGTTAGTTATCTGTTCATCAGCTTCCTGACATGTTAAGAGAATATACTAAAAAGAAAATACATTTTTCAACCTTCAATTTTCTTCCACTAAGATAAACCAAATTTCCTTATATATATGTAAACCCATCTATTTAAACACAAAGTTGTGTCTGATGCCAGTTTACATAGCATAAAGCATTCACCATCCTCTAAGATTTGTTTCAGCAAAACTTACATTGCTTTAGAATTTTAAGATTTAACCTTGTACAATGGCCAGCCCCTGAAAGCGGGAAAAATTTATTATAATGTATAATATGGAAGCATCCTCCCACTGCTTGCCCAGCCCTTCAATCATGTGGCTTTTCGGTGAAAGGAAAGATTCTTTTTCTAGGAAAAATGAGCCTCTTATTTTATTTTATTTTTTGACACAAACTGTAGATTTTAGCAGCCCTGGCCCAAAGGATTTGATTACTTTTGTTTTAAACAGTACAAAGGGGACACTATAATTACAAAAATATCCTTAACTGATTTGAGTTGTTTTTATTTCTTTGGATATGTTTTCAGAGTGGTAAATTGTGTGTGAGAATTACAAATGATGATTCTTTTAGTGGTTTCTTAGCCTCTCTTACAGCCCACGGGGATAGTACTGTACATCAATACCTTCATATGAAATTTTTATATGCAATGAAAATAAAAGCATGGGTTGATTCTGCCTATTTAAGACTCGATCTTTTACAAATAAAAGATTATTCACTTTAAATTATAGTTCAATCAGCACATTTCCAAGGATAATGAACATGGTTGAAATGAAAGGAGAATAGTGACATCATAAGTTAGCACTGATATTCATAACCAAATGAAGCCAACTTGAGTAATTTTGCTACATTAAAAATTACCAAAATTACCTAGATGGCCTATAAAATTAAGCATAGTATTTTTTAAATAAGCTTTGGAAGGGGCCTTCAATTACTTAATTTAATACTCTGGGATATTGAAAATTATCATTTAAGCATTCAACAATTATTTATTGGTTACCTATTCTGCAAACTACAAGGTTTTAAGGACTCAACAATAAGTAAATGAGACACAGTGTTTGCTTTCATGGAACTTAACAGTCTAGAGGGGACAAAGTCATTACACGATTCAATACTCATAATTATGTGGTCAGTACAATGAGAAGCTCACTGTGGTGAATAAGCAGGAACCTGAATTTGATCTATTCTGGAGAGCCAGGGAAGGCTTCCTTCAGGCCTTGAGAAAGTGATTTGTGGCTGATTTCTGAAGGATTGTAAGAGGTAACTAGGGGAAGAAGTTGATAGGAAGAGGAAGGGGATCCAGACAGGAAAGATTTGCAAAGACCTTGAGGCATAAATGAGCTTGAGACATCCCAGGAAATGTAGGGAAAGCGAGAAGGAGGATAGCCAGGTCCTGAGTGGCAGAGCCATTGCTAACTGTCCCCCACTCTGTAGCTTCCTCCTCATTACCCTGCTCAGTTTTCTTTATAACACTTCTCACGGGTTGATATACACATCTGTTTTTGTTGTCTGTCTCTCCCACCAGAACACAGGTCCATGACAGCAAGATCTTTGCTTACCAATGTATCACTAGCACTTAAAACTATGCCTGGTACACAGTAGGTTCTTAATATGTGTTGAATATAGCCACCAAATTGATATTGGATATAATTCAGATTGATAAGATATTTTGAGATATTAAAGAGTTTTTAACTTGATACCATAAAAACTTGTTTGTTTCTTGTTTTTGAGCTTACTAAGATCCTGGATAAAGAGTTAAGAGTTTCCTACTTCTTTGCTATCTAAAAACTCTGTTTGCTTATTCCTCACAAATTCTTTTTTCTAAATGACAAAACAATCCATTTGTCATGATAATGAGAGTAAAGAAATCAGCACAAATTTAATCCCCAGATAATCCCCAAACCGTACCGGTAGAATAAGGGTAGTTAAACAGAGTATCTATGCTTAGCCGCTTCAGCATATCCTCCTGCCACAACAGTCATGGTAAGCCAAGAGATGCCCAATGTGTGCCTTCCTGGGTATAATTGTTTTAAACTCACGCTCCCTTCCCCAAAGCCATGACTCCAAAGTGAGACTATGGAAATAAAGAAGAAACTCTCTTCTTTTCCCGACTTGTCCCACTTGCTGATTTAGGCTAATTTGGGTGGTGTTGGGCCTGAACACACTTTGAAATCTCTGACCTGGAAACCCTTCCTCAGGCACATGGCTTTTGACCCACAATAGCGACATTCTACCAAAAACAAACCAAAACCAAAAACATTCCTTGTTGCTACACCACCAGCAACCCTCCAAGGAGAGGGCAACCTTGGTCAGTGGAATCATACCTGGGCTTTGTCATCCTTCTGATTTGGGTACTGCATCCCACCCAGCTACTCTGAGAGCTCCAAATACTCAAGGTCAAACTCAGTGCAATGGGTATAGATCTTCATTATGTGCACGCAGGAAATACTACTTTCTTTAAATCAATTAAGCAATTAATCTGGACCCGGGGCTCCAGCCAATCACGCTATTGGGAATTTCCATCTGTCATTACTAGCACAGCTCCCCTCTCTCCCAACATAAAAGTTATCATATCTCCAACATAATCCGAGTACCAGATCTCTGTGTTGTTCCAGCAGTGTTCCTTACAGTCCCTCTGCTCTCGGCTTCCTTGTCACACGCGGTGTACCAGGAATATACGCTGGTTTGAGGCCCTGCTTTAACACAGTGTCCATCAAAAGAGCCTATCCTGCCAGTGTTTTATCACACCTTGCTGTGGTCTGAATGTTGGTGTTCCCCCGAATGCCTGTGTTGAAATGCCCCAGGTCATGCTATTCGGAGACGGCACCCTTTAGGAGATAATTAGATTATGAAGGCAGAGTCCTCATGAGTCGGATAAGTGCCCTTATAAAAGAGGCCCAAGGGAGCTTGTTCAACTCGGCCATCATGTGAGGGCTCAGCTAAAAGGTGCCATCTGTGAAAATGAAAGCAGGTTCTCACCAGATATCAAATCTGCCAGAACCTTGATGTTGGATTTCCCAGTCTCTCGACTGTGAGAAGTAAATGTCTGTTGTTCATAAGCCACACAATTTATGGTATTTTCTTTTTTTTTTTGAGATGGAGTTTCGCTCGTTACCCAGGCTGGAGTGCAATGGCGTGATCTTGGCTCACAGCAACCTCCACCTCCTGGGTTCGGGCAATTCTCCTGTCTCAGCCTCCAGAGAAGCTGGGATTACAGGCACGTGCCAACGTGCCCAGCTAATTTTTTGTATTTTTAGTAGAGACGGGGTTTCACCATGTTGACCAGGATGGTCTCGATATCTTGACCTCGTGATCCACCCACCTCGGCCTCCCAAAGTGCTGGGATTACAAGTGTGAGCCACCGCGCCTGGCCTGGTATTTTCTTGTAGAAGTCTAAGGATATTAAGACATACCTACTTAAATTACTACAAAAAAAGCAGTACTTTTCTTAATTCTCAACACTCTCCTCCTCTATCCTTCCTTCCTTCTTTTGTTCTCCAATGAGATTAGGTTTACAAACAAAAACAAAACAGACTAGAGGTAGTTGTAACTTCCGTTTGCTTCTGCTCTCCACTCTGCAAAAACCCTGGCTATTATTTGAAATATGGAGATGAAAAAAGATATTGGAAGAGTCCACTAACCTTCCACACATGGTTGGTAACATCTAGATCCAACAACGTTGACTGAACATTTTGAGATATGGGAAGTTGAGAAAGTTGTCTCCAGGAGGAAGTCATCAGGACCTCCTATACTTCCCATGTGGGAACACAGAGAAAGAGCCACTTTTTCCCGAAGTCTTTGTGTTTCAATGCTATCCCTGAATGTCTATTTGCAGCTCTCACTTAGCTGTTTCAGTGACAACATATAGTACTTGAACATTTTATAAAGTGAGAGTCACATTTGTTCCCTGCTGCAAGCTCCCACACCGCCATTCCAGGACCCTGCTATGGTCCACAAGTACCATTATGAGTCACTCTATTTTGTAGCTAGGAAAAGTGAGGCCCAAGAAAGTTAATCGACTTGGCTAAGATTATTCACAGGCCCAATACTGAGACGAATGATTTGCAAACTACAGATCTGACAGAATTCCTAATGTTATCTCTACATCCTGTTTCTGTTGACCTGCTGACAAGGACCAAAACTGCCTGTTGCATTGCCTTTGATTTCATTTGACCATTTTTCATTACAAGATTTCAATGATAGTTTTCATGGTCCAAAGCTAGATGATAGATATTACATCATATGCATTTTTTAACTCACCCTACGTCTGCGTAACCTTGCTATATGGTCAGAATTCTCCAGATTGAGCAGGAAGCCTGGAGTTAAAGAGCCCCTGACCACCTAAAAAAAGTATAGAAAATCAAAGAAGCTGACATGAAAGTAAGGAGCAGAGATAGGAGGGTGCTTCTGCCCGGTGCAGACTCACCACATGGGGCAAGGCAGATCTTAGCGGAACTGCTTTCAGGATGTATGCCTCAATGAAGGGAATGGAGCATGGGCAGCATCTGTCTTAGGCTGGAGCCCCTTCCACCACCATGCCTGTTTTAGCAGGGTGTTGGCCAGGGGCTTACAAATCCCAAGCCAACAGACATGGTTTCAGGACCCGAATCATGCAAACATATTTTCTGAAAGGCTCCATCGTCTGAGAGTTGCTTTTACTTTGCTCCTTGTTTTTGAACCATTAAACAGACCAAGTACACAGTGGCAAACACCTGCTCAGACGCATCAACACAAGGCACTGCTTTACCACCAGGCTGTGTTAATTACAGAACCAAGCCGTCTCTCACCTTGCAGCTTCTTCACACTTGGCTCATTTTCTCCCTAACACTGACGGTTTCTGTTTCCTGCTGTTCAGTTACAGCATCTGGAAAGAGTGGCAGAAACACCAGGCCACTGCACCCTGCAACAGTGGGTCAAGTGGAGACTGGGTGCTGAGGCCCGACTCTATCCAGCAAAAGTCAGTGGCTCATGGGTAGGAAACAAAGCTCAGGAGAGCTGCTGCAGTCCAGAGAACTGTCCAGCATAGAAGACTCTTAGGAAGCAGTACCCCCACCCCCTGTGCTTTTTGAAGCCATGTTTGGTATCACATGGAATTATGCAGTAGTCATAGAATATCTTTGAAAACTTACATTCTAAAAATAATTGCTAGGATCAGTGATTGAAATATCAAATGAGTAGACTGGAAAAGTTGAAAACAAGCAAAAGTGAGAGAAAAAAATTGAGGAAAACTGGGAGAAAGTGAAGGAAGGTGGACTCTGCTGCTATGGCATCCAAGGACAGTGGTGATACCATTCCCCACAGGACCAGGGTCCTGATACTTAGCATAATGCATAAGGCCCTGAAGGACCTATTCAAAGTAAATCATCCCCAGCTCTTCCCATTAACCCCAAGTAGATACCCCTGTGCCTCAGCTAAATGCTGCCTTTACGTCTTGCTTTTACATCTCTCTGCCTGGAAAACAGCTCATCCCCTCTCAATCCAGTTTAAATACACTTTTGTCTGGAAAGCCTTTCACATTAGTATTTTATATACACCCTATAATAAATATTTCCCATAATATGTTGTTTTTCAAAAAATGTTTTCATCTCTCTCACTAGATTGTGAGATTTTTAAATACAATCTATTCCTTTTTGCCTAATGGTAAGGAATTAAGTCAGGATATTAATATTTGACTATTCTTT